TGTAAACATTTCCACATGATTGACCCACAAGTCCCTTCCCACCATGGTTAATCTCCAGTCAGTGTCCTGTGACTTTGGGTGGACCATACGAAAAAGGATGGGCAGTGCTTCAACATGACAAGTATGGAGCTCATTTCACACTTGAACATGAACTCAGCCTTGCCTCTTGGAAAAAGCCACTTTCTTAGCATTCTAGAAACATTCATTTCAGAGATTAATCTATGAGGCTTTTAAAATCTCTCATTTCCTTCTCTGGGCCTCTGGAGTACAGGTAGTAGGATGTGTACTAGTAGAGAAATCAGTCAATTCAAGCTAGAAGTGTGGCTCTCCTGTGTAACCTTAGGTAATAAGAACATAGTTCTTAATTTTACATCTGTAAAGTAATTTTATAAATCATAAAGTATGGAATTTCTTCACACCAAATTTTCCAGCTTTCTTCGGTTGGCCTGTACCTGATACTTACAGCAGCTTTTCCTAGTACTCAGTGTGACCCTCAAGGTCCTTTCCGATTTATCAATGCTTTTTGTTTTAATCTGAGTCCCTGCCTTACAAATATTCTCTAGAATCTGTGTTCCTAAGATACATGGGGTAGATAGCAGCTTTGCAAAACAGGGTTTCCCTTAGTAGAGAATATATGATATGTGAGTGCTGGACCATAAAAGTAAAGAGAGAAATTAATCAGGAAATAAGTTATCCTGAGGAGGATCTATCCAGGGAACTTCCTAGGAAGTACTTTTGGGAGCCATGTGGTGAATGAGAGAAATCTCTCCTACTCTGGATCTTAGTTGGAATGTAAATCCTTGTTTTCTCTTGAAAAAGAGACGAGAGAATGGTTTTGTGGTGTGCGAGACAATCTAGAGTGAGCAAGGTGTCAGCCCAAATGGGGCCCAAATTTCACATGCAGTGCTACGTATGCCCCACAGTTATGGCAACTACAGGGTGTTAGAGGGTCTGCTCAGAGTGAGGAAGCACCTACAACGCGGATTCTTCTCATTCCAAAGCATGAAGCACAGTTCCCATATTAGTCTACTTGTGACTTCAATGATTTTCTATCAGTCCATGATTCTCTGCACCTAACACTCAGAGTTAATTCTTTTTAAAAATAATTCTAACCTAAGGGTTTCAGAATGATTACATGGGAACAAAATGTTCAACATGACTTGTCCTGGGATTAGAAAAATGATTATGAAAGTGCTTTTGAAACTAGGCTTCCTGTTGTTATCTGGGCAGGCTGTGTGAGAACTTCCCTTTCCTATTATTCCTGGAGCAGGGAACTATGTTCTGGTTTAAATTGAGTCCTTACATTGTTCTGGAAGTTTGGGAAAGCCCTTTAAATTCTCAAGCCCTCACGGTTCCTATGTTTAACACACATTTATAAGACTGTGGGTCATTCCTGAGCTAAAGGAGTAGTTTGTATTATATTCTCATGTATTTAAAATGTATAAGTGTGTGTGTTTTAATTCAAACTATTGTTAATTTTGGCACATTTTCAGAAAAGGTGTGCTTCTGTTGGCTTGGTGGTTCCTTTTGGTATGTAATGAATACGTAACAGAACAATAAAGGAAGATCATGCTCTGACCTCAGACAAAGCTAAAGAAACCAGGAGGTTTATGCTCCCTATTAATGAATCAACTATGTCCACTTACAGATGCAATATTTTTTTCCCTGTGGAAATAATTTCCTTGATAATAATGCCCTGTATGCATACTTCTGTTTTTATCCCAAATTTGTGCTTAATAACCTTCTTAATTACTAGGTCTTATACTGTATGTTTCTCATTTATTTTAATACCCACTGAGGTAGGAGATTAGGACTGGAACAGACACTAGTAAAACAACTGGGCAGAATTTGTCAAAGTCATGGAAACCCGGAGTGTGTGCACAGTACACAGGATCCAGGATGACCAGTTCTGAGTACTGTACACAAAATCAAAGAGAAAAGTGCTGTTTTCCACTTTTAATATATGTCTGGTATGAAGACAGAGTCTTTTGCTAGAGCAGTTGAAATCTGTTGCTAGACCGAGTGAGTTGTGATAAGACAATCATCCCAAAGTCTTTTCTGCATGAGAGAAAAGCCAACCCAGGGATTCCAGCTATGAGAGATCCCTTTCCCTTGTCCTCGAGGCACCAAGTCTGTTCACTGGTCAGCTCTGTGCAGAGCATACTTCTTTTTCATCTTCAGTAACTGTACATTCCCACTAGCTTTCTGCGAGTCTTGTCTAGTTCTTTGGTCAGCAGACCAAAGACCTGGAAAGAATTCCCCTGAGATTCACAATCTGGTAATACAACCACTTTGTTCCACAGACTAACTCTAGAGCAAAGTAATTCTTTCATGATTTGTTATGTGACAAGGGCTGTTGAGTGTATTTTTAATGTTAGCATTTTTTCCCTGGTTGATTTTCCCTCATGGTTTTATGTGCTTGCTATGCATTCCTATCATAATTCCGAGCACCCTCTGCTACATGTGCTTCCATGTCTTTCTTTCTCACTGGGCTGAGAGTCCTGTTAAGGCAAAGTCTTGTTTCTCTTATTCCTCATGTCTCTTCCAATTGCCAATTAGTTACTATATAGATATGTGTGGAGTGCAAGACTGAATGAAACACGATTATCATTAAGAACACTGTCGTTCTTCCATACCAAGGGATACTAAAGATTCATTTTTTTTAAACCTTCATTTCCTACCCACATTACATAGGATCTGGTCTTATTATCTCATTGTGTCAAAATTTTTAAAAGGGATTCAGACATCCCATGTCTGAAAATTCAAATTTCTTATTCCTATGGCAAACTGGAAAAGATGAACTCATCTCTCCTCACTATAATTTATTTTAAGAAAAACATGCGGAAATCCCTCAACCTCAATTTATTCACAGAAATGTAAGAGCTGCCCCATTACAGGCACGAGCTTTGGCTTTTAGTCATCTTTGTCTTTGGTGTAAAATTTTAGGAGTGAGGAGTTCCAGCACTGAATTCACAGCCTGGAAACTTGCAAATTTTACACTCACTTCTATTTCAGAGGAATATGATTGGCCCTTTGTGCTTGAATCCTTGAGCATTGTTATATCTAAAAGGTCTGTGAAGGTGAAGAACAGGCCAAAGAGAGTCTATAAATGGACTGGAAGAAGGACCCTGGTTCTCAGTAGAGAGGACATTCGAATGTGTAAAGTTCATTGTTACAGAGCTGGTTGCTATCCTGGGCTGTGTGCAAATCAATGGTGTTTCTTTTTCTTTTGGTACTCATTACTATTTATTTATTTATTTATTGTACCAGCGATTGAACTCATGACCTTGCCCTTGCCAGGCAGGCACTTGTGTGCTAAGCTAAATCCCCACCCTAGCATTCATAATTATTCAGAATGAGACAGTAAGAGTCCTGAAGACACCATTTTGGAACTCTATCAAGGTTATGCTTTGTTAATTGAAATCAAATACAAAAGTCAATCTCCCATGAGTTGCCATGCTCTCGTTAAATGGAGCAGACATATTATCAACCTAGCTCTATTTCAGCAAGTTGACTTAGCTTTTCTGGATACAAGATGATTCTTTCATCCAGTCACTGCAGTAAAAAAGTGAACATGGTTTGTTGACTCACTGTAAGGCAGAAGGATCAAGCCAGAGTAAATGCTGACGAAAAGAACCCTTAGATATGTCAAGTTTGGTTTTCATTTTGAAACCAACCATAGGTTTTCAACCATTTTGACAAGATTCTTAAAAATAAAAATCCTTAAATCGAAGGCTTAGGTTTCTCTCTCTCTCTCTCTCTCTCTCTCTCTCTCTCTCTCTCTCTCTCTCTCCTCTCTCTCCAATGATTTTTAGTCTACTTTTCTAGGCAAGCGTATGTAAATGATTTAGGAGGGGAGGGATTCCTTACTTTTATTTCCCAGGTGCAAATGTCTTTCTACCACTGGTTAATCATATTAAAGAATAGTTTTATCATATTTATGGGAGAACACATATTTAGCAGCTTTCTTTGAAAAGAGCACTTAAGGTTTTGATATTCTGGGTTCATGGGGACAGGTAGCCAAGAATAAAGGAAACAGAGAGTTAAATGCAACTGATGGGCTGGATTAATGTGTGTTCCCCTATAAAAGAAGAGTGGAGGGTGGGCTACAGTAATGGTCATTCCTAACCATATATTAGCATGCTTAGACCCGTCTTCCAGCCAGATACTGTACTCACTGTCTAAATTATCAAATCGCCCCTTAGCTTAGTTACCATTGAATGCTAAAAGAAAACATCCCAGCAAGGTAGCCATTAAACTCTGATGGTCATTTACCTTTGAAATAACTCTCACAAAAGTAAAAGGAAGATGAGAGGAAGGAAGATGGGGCAAAGAAATATGGAGTTAAGACTTTCTTCCAGTTGGTCTCAGTGCCAGTTCTGCTAAAAATATTTTTGAAAGGCTTGATGCCTAAGCACCACTTCAAAATTTCTAATTCACCAGATCTGAAATGGAGCTCAGGAATCTGTGCACTGAATGAAATCCAAAACTGAGTCAGGGGTGTAGCAAGGACCGAAACTCACTCACTCATTGCTCTAGCTTATAATATGGGGCCCGACACCAACACCAGCCTGCCCTCAGCACACCTTTTGGAACAAGCATGCATTCTCTCCCTTACAATGAATGTGTGTGTGTGTGTGTGTGTGTGTGCATGTGTGTGTGTGTGTGTGTGTGTGTGTATTTTGATCTGTATCTTCTTTTACTTTCACATTGAGAGTGTATCTGTTGCTTTCAACTCAATTTCTTATCCAGAAAAAAAAAATTACTAATAAGGTTTTTCTGAATCTGGTTTATCAAAGGAACTGATTAAGATAGGGTAGACTGCACTCTCTTCAGGAGTTACTTTCTTTGTGCTATGGTAAGAATCATCCTGCTTTGAAGATACAGTTCTCTAAATCTCTCAAACCTGGTGTTTTCTGGTCATCCGAAGCAAGGACACTCCCAGCATTCTGGGGGGCGAGGGAAATGATCAACACAAACACACCATCAAAACCCATTAATCAGGTTGCATTAAGCTTTATAACAACACAGTTTTCATTTAGTGGGAGAAATGACAGTTTAATAACAGCTGAACAGATTTAACTTATACAAATTTCCAATTTTACTAGAACAATTCCTGGTTTTGAAGATCTGTGGACAAGTGCTTTATGTCAAATGCTGTATTTTAATTGAATCAAACTAATGGGAAGGGACACATTATTTGGCAGCCCTTGATAGGGGTATCTGAAGACAGCCCTTGACCTCTCCCACCCCCCTTAAAATGAATCTGACAAATGGAATCATCCCTCTTGCCATTGTCCGATTAGATGCCATCTCTGAGTAGAGAAAATGAACCATGAGGTGACCCTGAACTGCTGTGGTAAGACAAACAGAAGGTGATTGCTTCTTTCCCACTGCTTCACTAGGGGTGATTCACAACAACAGACACACCAACTCATGGGTCTTTGCCTCTTTGGTGACTCTAGGGGACAGAGTCTATCCCAAAAGCATGCCTCGGGACTGTGGTGCTTGGGGGAGAGGGTCTTTGGGAAAGGAGGCCTCTCACAAGGAGGACTCAATTTTTTCTTTCTCCCTTGTATGTGGCCATTTATCTCCACTGATCTCAGGGTTTTGGACTCAGTTGTAATCATCTCACTCTGAGAGCAACCCTGTACCTGATTCTAACAGATGCAGAGCTTCTTCTTAATTCCAGGTACTCATGAAGAGAGAACCCTTAGTGGGCTCGCAGAAAGACAGCTTCCAGGGGGTGTCAGCTATTGTCTGGTGAGAAACATAAGTGCATGCCTCTGCTTCACAGAGTGGGGAGGGAGGAAGTCAGGGCGGAAGTCAGGGCGCATGGGACGAAGCCTTTGATGAAAGGCTAGAAATGCCTTAGAGGGAGGATCTTACTCCCTAGGAGTTCTGGAGCACTCAGCCAATAAAAGCATTCTGGAATGAAGACAAAGCAGAAGTTTAGATCTCAGGTGCCAGGTCTAGACAGAGGTCTAGAACCTAAGTTCCTCAACTAACACAGGAACCCCTAGGAAGTAGACCTTTCTTTTTTGCCACTCAAATGAATATTTCTGTGCTCACTGTCTATGACACTGACAAATATCTATGCTGCATTCAGATTCTACTGACAAGTAGAATTAATGGTGTGTGCTATGGCCATCTGGTCAACCAGAGACATCAAGCCTGGTTCCTTCCTGGGGATATTGTGGGATCTACTCCTTCTCCCGGGCCAACAGCTTTGGAGACAATCCTGACTGCACAAAAGAGGAGATCTACGCGGCATTCCCCCAAGGTCAAAATTGCAGAACCTGGGGAATACAGGTCTCAGGTAAAGAGCCTCCTTCTATCCAGTAGCCTTCCCTTCATAGCTCTAGTCTCATTTGTCACCCTCTTCCTGTTCCCACTGAAAATCCTGGCCAGTCATTTGGTAAAACATCACGTTGAAGGGTTTGTAGAATTTCCGAAGTCTGTGAATGACATCAGGGTCAATGCGGGGATGAGTCCGACCTTTGCTCTTGCCTAGGCACCGCGGGGCACTGCTGTCTTCCGGCTTTCTGAGGCAAGGAAATCCCTTGGTTTTGTTGAAATAGAAATGCTTCTCAGTTACGACGCGCTTGAGGCCTAGAAAATCCTGTACTTTGGCCATTTCTCCAGCAGGGTCTACAATGAGTCGCTCACCGCTGACAAATAGAATCTGTGAGAGGGGAAAGTACTGGAGCCAGTTCTCCAGGTGCAGAGCATAGATCCCAATCCGGATGGCACTCCATGAGGCATCGATCAGCCCCAGAGTTCGGTTTTTGAAGGCCAGCACCTCAAAGGTAGGGATCTCAGGTTTCTTTGACAGTGTTTGTGTATAGTCAGAAATCGCCCTGGTTATAGGGTTCCTCACCACCACGATCAATTTGATGTCCTTGGCCATGGAATGAATGCGCTTGGGAGCCTCATTTGTCACGAAGTAACTTGGGGTCTTCTCCATGGTTATCTGCCCATCAAGAGTCTTAGGCATCACATTTCTGAAAGAGGGAGTAAAAGGAAAGGATAGTTATTCCTATCCAGCAATATTTAAAAATCTTTGCACAAAATGTGTTATATATTAGTATTGACTCACTCTAAGGCACTCTAAGACTCACTCTAGTGAGAAGTCACAGAATAAAATTTAAAAACACTTAGGATTTCATTTATCTGTGTCCCAACTATAGTCATAACTAATAATTATCAGAAAAGGTGGCATAAAGCGATGCATTCTTTCATGGGAACCTTATGCCTCTCAGTTTAAATTATTTTTCTAGCTCTTACAGTCATGTTTAACCTGGATATGCCCTTAATTTTGCCACACATTAGTTTCATAATCTCTGAAATGCAGATAATGATAGCACTGACTTCACATTGTAGTGTAAGGATTAAGGGAAATAATGTTTGAAAAGCACTTAGTACAGAACCTGACATGTGCAAGCACTTAATAAACGAAGGATTTTATTATTGTCCTAGTGGCTTTCAGAAAATGTTGGAACTCCACAAGATGTCAGAGGATTATCTAGTCTAAGACTGGCAAACCACTACCTACCTCCTGTTTTTGTATGACTCACATCTAAGGACTTGGCTGTTTAAGAGAATGTTTTCTGATCCCTGATTTAATCCAAAGATAATAATGTGCAAATGAGGAGACAGAGCATGGACACAGGCATCAGACATGTCACACAATCTGCATATTGAGTCGCATCACCAAGCAAACCATATTATCCTCAGCTGTATAATCTTAAAATTTAGCTCAACTGTAGCTGAGAACAAAATGACATGTAGAGCCAAAGCATCTAACATAAGGCTGGTTCATTATATGAGACTTGTGCCTACCTTTGGCTGCAAATTTGCCCAGTGAGCCACAGATGAGGTCCTGCCATAGTTTGAATCTAAAACATCCCCCAAGTCTCATGTGTCAAAGGGTTGGTCCCCAGCCTTTGTCATTATTGGGAGGTGGTAGGACCTTTAAGATATAGAGTCTTGTGGCAGGAATTGAGGTCATAGGAGCCTTCGAAGGGGATAAGGGGACTCCAGTCCCTTCATTTCTATTTTCTTGATTCCATGTTATAGCCTTGAGATGAATAATTTTCCTCTACCATGTGCTTCCACCATTGTAGGCCCAAAAGTAATGGAACTAATCAACCATGAACTGAGATCTCTGAAATGATGAGCCAGTAGAAACTTTCCTTCTTATTAAATTGATTATCTCAGCTATTCATTAAAGTAGCAGAAAACTGATTCACACAGATTCCATACCAGAGCCCATATCTCTTGGTTTCTTTGACAACAGTGCTTCTCCCCGCCTACCCTTCTATCTATATTCACCTTTAAATGGCTTATCTTACTTGGGATATTAAAGGTTTTTGATTATTGCCCCCTAATACCAAAGTAGTAGGACTATCAGTGATAAAATGAGGCTAAGAGTCCCATTATGCAGTCAGTTTGCTATACCCATATGTAGTCCTAGTTAACTCATTTGTTCAATACCTGTCGTATAGTGGACCATCTGCCACCAGGTGTTCCATTAAGTCTATTCACTTCTGAGCCTAGCACCAAAGTAGTACATTCAGGATTACACAAGCCCTCTTTGTTATGATGACATGCTTTTAAATGTCTCAGCTAATAAAACTTAATACAGACGAAGATCCCTTAGCTTCTCCTACCATAATTAAATTTATTTACTATCGCATGTGTGGAGAAAGAATGACTTTTCTTTTATCTCTAATTCACATGCTCTGTCAATAATTAATTGCTGCTGGGTTTTGAGCTTTCATGGCAGGCACTTTTATTAAGCAAGAGGAATTTGTCTGGGAAAGAAATTCACATAGAGCTAGACCTTGTTAGTGTGTAATGGTTGGGTAGCGTGGAGTTTTCCGATTAAAGCCGCAAAGCCGCAGCCCTGGCCATAAATAATCAAGCTTGTCTTGGAATGAGATAGTCTCTGAAGTGTTTTGATAGTCTTTATGCCTGTGTGTTGTTTTGGTGCTCACCAGACTTAACAGTTTTAGTTAGAGGGGTGGGCTGAAGAAACACAGGGTTTGGGAATCAGATGTGTAGGATTTCAGAGTTCTGATTATAGCCAGGTATGATAGTCAGGAACATCTGTAATCTGAGGGCTGCAGGAGGCAGACATGAAGGATTTCAAGTTTGCGCCCATTCTGTGCAATATGGTGTATTAGCAAGATCCCATCACAAAAACAAAATAGGGCTGGGAACATAGTTGAGTGCAAAGGCCCTGGGGGGGAAAAAAAATTCTGATTACACATGGAAACTCAGTGAATTTACTTATTCTTTTTTGAACCTTAATTCCTCCTCTAAGAACGAGTTCAGAAGAGTCCATCCCACATGGGATTGTAATGAAGATTAAATGTGATAATGCATGTAAATCACTTTGAATAGCAACCAATTAATGCCAGAATTGTTTTTAACGTAAGCCAGCTGTCCAAGATCATTCTCACAGCAATTCTCAGAGAAAGGCAAGTATTTTTTTCTTTTTTACTTTTAACCAAATAGAAAAGTCAACCTAAAGGACTGGTATAGAAAAATAAATTCTGATTCAAGTCTATAGTATCAACAGTATTTTCTGGTGTAGAGGCTGGTGATTAACCAGGAAACTGCCACAGTATGTCCAACTACTACTTCTATTGAAGAGATTATTCCCTTATTTTATTGTGGAAAGTTATATATTTTAAGCATCTTAAATGTTCACACAAAAAAGATCACCTGATGAAAGTTAATTTTCCATGACCTTTCCCTGATGTTGGTCCCTTGGATGCATTTTTATGTGTTTATTTTATAATTTCATTTTTGGTAATATAATGGGGATTGATGTTAGTGTTTTTTCACTAAACTTCATCCTCGACTCCTTTTTATGTCTTCATTTTGGGACAGGTTCTCATTAAGTCCCTAAATTACTGAGGCTCTGTTTAAACTTATCGTTCTCCTGTCTCAGCCTCCCAGGGTGTTAAAATTGTAACCGTGCACCACTGTGCTGGGCATGTTGTCTTTTTCTTCAGCACAGGAGCAGCTGTGTGGCTTTTCTTCCCATCCATTCTTTGCTATTTTCTTTTTAGACCTCAGTGTTTGAGTACCACTGAGTGCCCCTGCTTTGGCTAATTGACAATTTATCAACAGCTCATTAAATCTTAAATCTTTTATCTGCAGCATCTGGGATGAAATAGTACCCAACCTATGAGCCAGAACTCACAAAAGGATGTGTCCCTAGCTTGGTACTTCATGCAAGAGGAAAGGAGGAGTTGCTAAAGAGAGGAGGTGGAGAGAAGAGCCTAACTAGCTGTGATCATCATGTTTCAAATGAATGTAAAATCATGTAATTTCAGAGAGTTCCCTCAGTCGGAGCACTAAAGGTTAAGACTAAACCAAAATTTAACTGTTGTGGTATGAATTACTCACGTTACTCTGTCAGTAAGCATATTGCCAGTAGCTTCTCAAAATCTGTAAATTATCAGAATCTTGTTCCTAAAACTGTTTCGCTCATCCATCCATTCATTCATTCTCTCTAATAAATGGCCACTTATCAGCAATTTAATAGCTAACAAAACAGACATGGGCCCTTCCTCACTTGACAGACCACTTCACTACCACTTTTGATAAATGCAGAACTTTTTATAGTACCACATATCTAACTGTTTTAACCTGCAGAGGAAGTATCATTATTGTTCTGGTCTTCCAAAGGAAACAGACTCAGAACCTAAAGAGATTTTCCGAGGTGTCATTGAATGAATGTGATTTTTGCTTCTGTTTAGTGGCTAAGCAAAAGTAATTCAATAACAACATTAGTGCCTACGCCAGTTCCTGGCAAATAGCAGATCAGTAAGTATCTGCTGAATGAGTGGATGAATGAATGATGAGGCATTAGTTCCCTCTCCTAGGTGTAGGCCATCCTACAGCTAAGTTTTTGTTGCCACAATCATCCTCTTTTCCTCCTTTGTCTCCTCACCATGGCCTCCTTTTAAGCAACTGTTTCTACCCCTTACAGAACTCCTTCTTCCTGTAGAACTGACGGAGATGTCTCTTGTACTAGCTGTGACCAACCCCTGTATCTGGGCTTCACTTCCTCCCCTTCTACCTCCTTGGAATGTTTCACCTCTATTTCTCTTCCCTCTGTAGGATTTAATTATGTTGCTCTCAACAGAATCTGGCATTTCAGGCTGCCCGTGTTCTCACACTGTGGTATGCTTGAGGAACAGGAAAAAGGCCAAGGATGTTGGAAGGTAGTGATCAAAGGTAAGGTAACTAGACAATAAGGTTGGAGAAAATGAGCAGAAAACAGACCACTGAGAGTCTTACGGCCCACAGGAGGAGCTGGCACTTTTTTATGCATGTGATGAGAAGTCAAGGAAGAATAACGGCAGGATAGTGTGATGTGATCCAGATTTAATATTTGTTTTATGGGTGACCTGCAGAGGCCACAGAGTAGCAGGATAGATGTGGTGATTGGATGTGGGTGAAGAGGACAACAAGGACAGAAATACTTACAACAGGAATATACTTTGTTAGAAGGCCAACAGTCCCTACTGGTGAGTGGGATGAGTGCAGGGGAAAGAGCCATAATGGATGATTCTGAGACTCAGCCTGAGCTAAAGGGCACCTCGTAGGGATGTTTACTGATGGGCAGAAAACTGAGACCAGTGTTTGAGGTGGATAACTGTATTGGGTGCACAGAGGTCACCTGGAAGGGAACAAGAGAATAATATCTGCCCCTCTTAACTTCACTGGCAGAGGATCAGATCTACCCTTGGCTTACTTGGAAAGTTCTCATTTAGGTGCAAGATGTAAAAAAAAAAATTGTTTTTCTAATACATGTACAAACATTTAATTCACTCTTCAGTGTGTGTGTGCGCACGTGTCTGTGTGTGTTCACAAGGCTAGAGGCTGAATTTAAGGTGTTCTGAGCCTCACTCCTGCTAGGACAATGTTCTATCACTGAACCACACCCCAAACCTCATTACCTCATTTTACCCCCAGATTCTTG